TAAGGGGCTCTCCATATGAGATGTAATGTCATCCAATTTGTAGAAATGCTGTATTATGTGGAAATAAGTTGATCGATTAATTGAAATCCCTTAGATATTATGTAGCCTGAGGAATGGGAGGCATTTAGGTTCAGTCAAAGGAAGGGAACCATAAATTCCATTACCTGGCACAAGAGCCCCTCACCAGCATTAAGACACCTTCTTTGAGGGCTTTACAATTTAAAATAAAATATGAAAGGTATTGTAGTTTCCTGATGATATCTTCGTTTTATGTTTGTCATCCAGCAAATTGGCCCTGCAAATTCTGTAGGCATATGAAAAGAAGCCAATAAGAACACTGTACCTCTCTTTATTTTGGTGTCATGATGCACTCTGTAGTGTACGAGGTCCTTACAGGTGGGTTTGCAATAAACTTGAAAAGAACACGAGTCCACACTTTTGTGGATGATAACATATTGAAAAAAAGGTACTATTTTCTTTGTCTATTATTTTTGCATTAATACATGTTATGTAGCGGTGAAGGAGGACCTAGAAAGGACTCCGTGGAAATAAACAGCACTGCTTGGATTACTTGGGTTAGCCAGTGTTAACTTTCCAGTGTTACTAATATCAATAAAATCTTCATTTTATATTTAATTAGTGAGTTCTTCATGTTACAGGTGTAAGAAAGGCACATTAATATCAAAATTATTAGTTAGACCTATGGATGAAACACCAGAGTGTAGTGGGTAACTGTCCATGAATTGAGAAAACCCACATGTAGACAGAAACACACTGTAAAATTTTTTTTTTTTTTTTTTTTTTTTTTTTTTTGTCAAGATATGGGTTTCTTCAATTAGACCTATGCTTATATACAGTACTGCAATAAAAATGCCCTAAACAGTTTAGAATTGTAGTTTTGTATGTGCTAATGAGCTACAGCCTTCCCTTTATCTTCTGAAGCCCTTGATGTAATAAGAACATAAGAACGAAGGAACACTGCAGCAGGCCTACTGGTCCATGCGAGGCAGGTCCAAGTCTCCTACCGGCTTAAGCCAATGCACCCAACCTAGTCAGGTCAGGTCACCTTGACTTAAGGGAGGAACACTGCAACTGTCCTGGTAGCACAAGCTAATCAGGTCCAACTCACACCCACCCACACCCACTCATGTATTTATCCAACCTATTTTTAAAGCTACACAACGTTCTGGCCTCTAGGACTGTACTTGGGAGTTTGTTCCACTCATCCACAACTCTATTACCAAACCAGTACTTTCCTATATCCTTCCTGAATCTGAATTTTTCTAACTTAAAACCATTGCTGCGAGTCCTGTCTAGGCTAGATATTTTCAGCACACTATTTACATCCCCTTTATTTATTCCTGTCTTCCATTTATACACCTCAATCATATCCCCCCTAATTCTACGTCTTTCTAGAGAGTGCAGATTCAGGGCCCTTAGTCTATCCTCATAGGGAAGGTTTCTGATACATGGGATCAACTTTGTCATCCTCCTTTGTACATTTTCCAGTGCATTTATATCCATTCTGTAATACGGTAAGTAAGTAAGTAAGTAAATTTATTCAGGTATACACAATACAGTTACATAGAATTATCATACATAGCAGCATATGTGTAGAGAACCTAGGATAACCCAAAAAAGTCAGACAGAGTGACTTATTTCCATTGGGGTCCTTTTACCTTATTATTATAATATAAAGGTTATAATATTTTCTTATTATTCTATAATGAAGATAACATCTTATTATCATACTAAAAAGACTATCTACTACACGAGGGTCATTAAGACTATCTACAATACGAGGGTCATTAAGACTATCTACTACCCGAGGGTCATTACGACTATCTACAATACGAGGGTCATTACTAGGGATAAGGTAAAATTTACACGTATTTTAGCTAAAAATAGAAAATCATTCCCCTCCCTTTCTGTTGCTTCGTTCATCAGACACCTTTTGGCAGTCTTCTTGAACTGGTTCAAGCTATGACTGGCCTTGACATTTGTGGGTAGTCTGTTCCATTCCTTTATTGCTGTACAATAAAAGGTGTTTGAAGCCTGGCCACTGACTGTGGGTACTACAAAGTTGTGCTCTCTCCCCCTAGTACTATGATTGCTTTGGTTCCCAACCTTGACAAAATTGACAGCAAGATATTCTGGACACTGTTCGTGAGCAATTTTATAAACATGATTTAGCTTCAGTTGTTTTACTCTGTCTTCAACATTTAGCATATCCAACTGCTGTAATTCATCCTGGCCTACATGTTCTCTTGGTCCCAGCCCCAGGATGAATCTTACGATTTTGTTCTGGGTGATTTGCAGTCTATCTTTCAGTTTTTTTGTCAAGGCAGAGTACCAAGAAGAGCAAGCGTAATCCATGTGGCATTGTATAAGGGCTAGACATAGGGTCCTGCGAGCCTCAGTAGGTAGACACCGTGCTTGTCTATACAGGAACTTCAGCCTGGCATTCGCTTTCTTTACTACACTGTTCCCTATCAATTCTCCTGACATGCATGGGTCAAAGGGGATTCCCAGATATTTAACTGATGAAACCAAAGTGATGGACTCCCCATTACACTGAACATTAAAATTATTTACCCTTCTCAGTTTATGTTTCGTTCCAAAGAGAATGGCTTCAGTTTTCCCTAGGTGTAATGATAGTTTGTTGTCTACTAACCATTTGCTGCAGGACTCCAGTTCCAGTGTTAAAACATTAGCAATATCTTGTGGGTCTTTACCTGTCACTAACAGAGCACTGTCATCTGCATACAGTAGGAGTTTGCACTTGACACTGATAGGCATATCATTGACATAACATAAGAATAGTAAGGGACCCAGAATACTACCTTGGGGAACTCCACATGTTATCGGCAGGGGTTCTGATTCTGTTTTGTTGATTTTGACTATTTGTCTCCTGTTGCTAAGGTAGGACTTAAACCAGTCTACAGAACCTATACCGATAGTTTGAAGTTTATTACATAATATATTGTGGTTGACAGTATCGAAGGCCTTTTGCAGGTCTAAGGTTACCATACCTATGAGGTTCCCTTTTGACATTTCAGTTCTCAGGTAATCCATCAGATTAATAAGGGAGGTATCGGTGACCAAAACTGTGCAGCATAATCTAAATGAGGCCTAACCAAGGATGTATAGAGTTGAAGAACAACCTGAGGACTCCTATTATTTATGCTTCTTGATATGAAGCCAAGGATTCTATTAGCTTTATTGCGAACACTTATGCACTGTTGTCTTGGTTTCAGATTACTGCTAACCAGAACTCCTAAATCTTTTTCGCAATCCGTAATATATTAAGATCTACATTATTTAGTTTATATGTGGCATGGTTATTGTCCTGTCCAACATTTAGAACTTTGCATTTGTCTATATTAAACTGCATCTGCCACCTCTCCAACCACTGCATCAGTCTATTCAAAACTTCCTGGAGTGCTCTAATGTCCTCGTCAGAATGAATTCGATGGCCTATTTTGGTGTCATCGACAAGCTTGCTGATGTCGCTCTTTATGCCCTCATCTATGTTGTTTATGTATATTGTGAACAGCAGGGGGCCCAACACTGACCCCTGTGGAACACCGCTCGTGACGCTTCCCCACTCTGATTTCTCCCCATTTATGCAAACTCTCTGCTGCCTATTTGTCAACCATGCCTCTATCCAGGAAAAAATTTCTCCTCCTATTCCATGTGCCTTAATTTTCCTCAATAGTCTCTGATGTGGGACCCTGTCAAAAGCCTTACTGAAGTCCATATACACAATATCATATTCATTACCATGATCTACCTCCTCAAATACCTTAGTGAAAAAAGTTAATAAATTCGTAAGGCAGGAACGCCCCTTTGTAAAACCATGCTGAGATTCGTTGATTAATTTATGCTTTTTAAAGTGGCTACGAACTGCCTTGGCAATTATTGATTCCATAAATTTTCCCACTATGGAGGTTAGGCTTACTGGTCTATAGTTCGAAGCTAAGGACCTGTCACCTGCTTTGAAAATAGGTATCACATTTGCCATTTTCCACTTATCTGGCACCATGCCAGTTTGTAGTGATATGTTGAAAAGATTAGCCAAAGGTTTGCTAAGCTCCTCTTTACATTCCTTTAGAACCCTTGCATACAGTTCATCAGGGCCTGGGGATTTGTTAGGTTTTAATTTATCTATTTGCCTAAGGACCATGTCACTTGTGACCCTAATCGTGCACAGTTTATTATCGTCCTGTTCCACATAATTTATCATTTCTGGAATATCGCTGGTATCCTCCTGTGTAAAAACTGAGAGGAAGTATGTGTTAAAACTTTTACACATTTCCTTATCACTGTCAGTGAGCTGACCCGAGGAACTTTTGAGTGGGCCTATCTTGTCCCTGATCTTACTTCTGTATACCTGAAAGAATCCTTTTGGGTTAGTCTTCGAATCTCTTGCAACTTTAACCTCATAATATCTTTTTGCTTTTCTAATTCCTTTTTTTATTTCTCTCTCTAACTGAATATATCGATTTCTTAATCGTAATCAGAGATGATTTCCTGTAGTACTGTACTTATTTCTGCTTATCCTTGTTTTCAGCTTGTATTGTCTCTGTCTACTTTCCATAAGTAATATTGTTGGGTTTTACTAGGTCAAAACTACATAATTTATTACCTGTGTATACCTACAATATTTAACCCGTAAACGGTCCAAACGTATATATACGTTTTTTCAACATTTGAAAGTATGTAAAAAAAGTAGATCTTCTTTTTGTTTTTCTACATTTGAAAATGTGTAAAACAACTTTGATATACTTTTTTTTTGTTATATTTGAAAATATGTAAAAAAAGCTTAGATCTACTTTTGTAGCACTACACATGTGAACGTAGATCTGCTTGGACCGTTTACGGGTTAAGTGCCTTCATAATCATTACTAAAAAATTCTAAGTCTACTGTCTGCAAAATTATTTGTAGATGTTCTGTATGAAGCTTTAATTTTTGTCTTTTGATGATACTTTTGATACAGAATGCTGCTGCTGCTGCTGCTTGGAGTGTTGAGTGTGTTTGTGGGTTCCCCAGACCCTTGTGTGGGCAGTGATGTGCTGTCTTCTCAGCTCTTCATTCTTCCTCTCATGCACCATAATTTTAGCTTTCTGACTCCAGGTAAGATTTATACACCATATATGTCCCGTTTGAACATATAAATGTTTGAAGTCCATGTTTATATATATAGCCTGATATATAAATATATATATTTCCTGTAAATTTAGATGTAATAGAGAAATTAATGTTATTGTTAAGGAATGGTTTACTGTGTTAAGCATTTTACTTTAAATTACTGCTGCTACTTTCAACAAACTGGCTGTATCCCACCAAGGCAGGGTGACCCAAAAGGAAAAATGAAAGTTTCTCCTTTTAAATTTTGTAATAAATACAGGAGAAGGGGTTACTAGCCCCTTGCTCCTTTTACTTTAAACATTGCTAGTAATTTGGTGTACAGGTCCACCATCGCAAATCCGGCAATCAGACATCTGGTTTCATCAGTTATTCGGCACTAATTTTGGCTAGCATAATTTCAAATTTTCAGGGTCACCACCCCAACCTGCTGGTACTGTTTGGTGGCACTACTTGCTACATAAATCATTCTGATTTTTTTCTCCATTTATTGTTATAACCTGCTTGCTTTTAGTCATAGCCATGGTTCCAATGAATAAATGAAATATTTCTCATTGTGTAAAGCACTTACACAGTACGCTACCCATTAAAGATAAGGTGGCTTTGAAGCCACTGTCGATTGCCATGAGCTCGGTCTCGTGATGCAGGGGAATGTGCTTTATTATTACGCTAATATCAACACTACGGCTTATTTGCCTATCACAGTTGAGGTATGAAGAGGATATGGGATACACGTACCATTTTCCTATCCCTGTCTTGGGGCCTTATATTAGAGAAAATGGAGTATAGCACATGGCTGTGACATACACTCGTACTGCACCATAAAACTTAAACAAAAAAGCTATTTTCTTTACATAGATGATCACACATAGCAGCATATGTATAGAGAACCTCAGATAACCCAAAAAAGTCAAAGGGGCTTATTTCTAGTACCTGGCTTGGGCTAGCCATATATGGTTTTTGGTAAATATTCAATTCCCAGCTAGGGTAGAAACATTGGGCGTATTTCTTTACACCTGTTGTCTATGTTCACCCATCAGTAAATGGGTACCTGGGTGTTAGTGGACTGGTGTGGGTCTTATCATGGGACACTGACCTAATTTGCCTGAAATGCTTAGCAAAACAAGGGGCTTTCTATATAGTAGTATGTCACTGATGTCAGCTAGGCCTGTATACCATGTACATGTACTTATAGTAAATAAAAATATTATTATTATTATTATTATTATTATTATTATTTTTCTCTCAGTTGTTTGTTGGGCTATCTTATTGAAACTTGGGCAATGTATGATGGAAAGATGCTTCTTAACATACACCAAAAATGAAAGAAATCAGACCATAAATAATGGAGTTCACTCTCAGCCATTAGTGGCCCCATAGCTGTATACAGTGGACCCCCGGTTAACGATATTTTTTCACTCCAGAAGTATGTTCAGGTGCCAGTACTGACCGAATTTGTTCCCATAAGAAATATTGTGAAGTAGATTAGTCCATTTCAGACCCCCAAACATACACATACAAACGCACTTACATAAATACACTTACATAATTGGTCACATTCGGAGGTAATCGTTATGCGGGGGTCCACTGTATTTCATATGGTTTTTATGGTTATATTCACTTTTTTTGGTCTCATTGATAGAATGGAAGATATATTACAGAAATAGATATGATTTTGATTGCTTTCTAGACATAAAGTACCTTGAAATTGAGCTCAAAGTACCGGAAATGTTCTATTCTTTAGCGATGTTCGAGTAAACAAATGACATCACTGTCTAACCCTACGACTGTTGCAAGCCCCTTTCTGAAACTGTCATTCTATGTCGCAAAAGTTTTGGGAAAAAAATTATTTTTTCTTATGAAATAATAGAGAATCTTTTCCCAATGGTAATGACACCAAAAATATGAAATTTGGTTGAAAACTCACAAAATTACGCTCCCGTGAAGTTAGTGGTCTCGGCGACATATATGCATTGGCAATTTCGCCGACTTTGAGCCCTGTTTTTGGCCAATTCTGTTGTTCCAGTTGACCAAACTCATAGCTATTTCTTTAGAACTCCATTTTTTCTATCAGTTGAGTACAGTATAAGAAACCGCCCATTTGCTGATTTGAACTACCCAATAACGTGGTCAGAAATTGGCAATTTGGCCAATTTCACGCAAATTAAAAAAGATGCCAATTTCAAAATAGGATCCAGAATAAACAATGTAGACATTCTTGGCACAAAAATAACATATCCTCTGTTTATCAGTCACATCTGTAGGCCCCTCTTATATTACTATTGCTTTCTATTTTGATTTTTTATTCGTACAAAAAATACAAAATTTACTGTTATGCAGACTACTGCATTATTGTAAAAATGGTATAAATAATATCAGTGCACTAGTGAAAGAATATTAGACTCCCCAGTTGACGTGTATTGGACGTGTAGTGTAATTTGCTTACTCCTGAACATTGGTAAAAATCGAACATTTCCGCTACTTTGAGCTCAATTTCAAGGTCGTTTTCATCGTGAAAGTAATGAAAATCATCTCTATTGCTCTAATATTTTTCCATTTTATCACCTGAGACCATGAAAACGAGAATACAACAATAAATACTATAGGAAAATACACCTCAAAGTCGGCATTTTAATCCAAAAAAACGGTCAGTTTTTTTTTTTCTCATTATGCACTGCATGCTGCAGGATTTTTTTTATGTGGTGCACACTGACCACACAGACCCATTCTCTCACATGTGGGCCTACCAGCTTTCTCCTGCTTGATTTGATGCCGCTAGAATTTACGCGTTTAAATATATCAGAAACAGTGGCTCCTAAGACGTATATATACGACCGAAACAGTGAAAGGGCTAATACGTGTGCGCCTGCCAGTCCAAATTTCAATACTCAGTCAAGAATGGGTTGGCATTATTTATACAGTTATTACAGTAATGCAGTAGTCTGCATAACAGTAAATCTATTTTTTATATGAATGAAAATTCCAAATGGTAAGCAAGAGTAATAAAAGAGGGACCTGGATCCGTGACTAATGAACAGAGAAAATGTTACTTTAGTGCCAGGAATGTCTGCATTGTTTATTCTAGACCCTATTTTGAAATTGGCATCTGTTGAAATTTGTGTGAAATTGGCCAATTTGCCAATTTCTGACCACTATTGGGTAGTTGAAATAGGTGAATGGGCAGTTTCTTGTACTCAATTGACAGAATAGAAGTAAATAAGTAAGTTTATTCAGGTATACGCAAATACAGTTACATAGATTATTATACATAGCAGCGTATGTATAGAGAACCGAGGATAACCCAAAAAATTCAGACAAAGTGACTTATTTCCAGTACCTGGCTTGGGCTTGCCATATATGGTTTTTGGTAAATATTTTTTTCTCAGTTGCTTGTTGGGCTATCTTATTGAAACTTGGGGAATGTATGATGGAAAGATGCTTCTTAACGTACACCAAAAATAAAAAAAAAGGGACGATAGATAAGGGAGTTCACTTCTCAGCCATTAGCCGCCTCTTTCCGGTATATTTTCGTGTGGTTTTTATGGTTGTATTCTCGTTTTTTTAGTCTCATTTGATACAATGGAAAATGTATTACAGAAATAGACATGATTTTGATTGGTTTCATGACAAAAAGTACCTTGAAATTGAGCTCAAAGTAACAGAAATGTTCAATTTTTGCCGATGTTCAATGAACTTTCTTGAGTAAGTCAAGTTGGTTAATTTTATTAAGCGTATTCTAACCTAACCACTCTATAATCCGACAAACTCGGTAATCCAGCACACTACAGGTCCCAATGATGCCAGATTTGTGATGGCGGACCTGTATTACAAATTTGGTACATGTTGAATGCATCAATTTAAATCTTTAATGTATGTATACTCTCATAATTGTTGCCAAAAAAATTAAATGCTATTCAATCATATCTGGTTGTAAATTGCACTGATTTTGATTTTATAGACCTGGGATATAAACCCCTAAGCTTGAATCAAGCATTAGTTTTAACCCTGTCAGGTTTTCCGATGTACTAGTATGGCTTACGCACCAGGGTTATTGATGTACTAGTACGCTTAAATTCTAGCGCCTTCATATCTAGTGAGAGAAAGCTGGTAGGCCTATACGTATATGAAAGAATGGGTCTGTGTGGCCAGTGTGCACAGTATAAAAAAAAATCCTGCAGCACACAGTGCATAATGAGAAATAAAAAACTCAGACCATGTTTTTGGTTTAAAACAGCGACTTTGCACTGTATTTTCGTATGGTATTAAGGTTGTATTTTAGTTTTCCTGGTGTCATTTTATAGAATGGAAGACATGTTACAGAAATTGAGATGATTTTGATTGGTTTCATAGCGAAAAGTACCTTGAAATTGAGCTCAAAGTAGCAGAAATGCTCGATTTTTACCAAAGTTCAAAAGTAAACGAATCATGCCAGGCATCCAGTACACATCAACTGGCGAGTCTAATATTCTTTCACAAGTGCGCTGATATTATTTATACCATTTCTACACTAATGCAGTAGTCTGCATAACAGTAAATCTTCTATTTTTTGTGAGAATAAAAATTCAAAGTGGAAAGCAAGAGAGATGTAAGAGGGGCCTGGGGACATGACTAATGAGCATAGAAAATGTTATTTTAATGCCAGGAATGTCTGTCTTGTTTATTCTGGACCCTATTTGGAAATTGGCATCTTCTGAAATTGGTAAATGGGTGGTTTCTTGTACTCATTCGATAGAAAAAATGGAGTTCTAGCGAAATAGATATGATTTTTGTCGATTAGTGCACTGGAATTGGCCGAGAATAGGACTCAAAGTGGGCAAAATCGCCAATGCGAGAGCATAATTCCGTAAGTTTTCCATCAAATTTCATACTTTTTGTGACATTATGATCGAGAAAAGATTCTCTATCGTCTCGGAAGGTATTTTTTTTTTTTTTTGGGGAAAATTTTCAACCCTGAGAACGAGTTTAGGAGAGGGGCTTTCGACCCTGAAAGGGTTAAATTCCAGCAAATTGATCTTATTACATAACAAGAAATACAATGATAAATGGTACAGTATACAGCCTCTCCTCACTTAATGACAGAGTTCCATTCCTAAGACCATGTCAGTAAACGAATTTGTTGCTAAGTGAGGAGCATACTGTAATGGCAGTGGATTTGTGCCATCCATCTTTGGTATTGTTTTAGTGTCATCTCTGTAAAATTTACAACATTTCTGGTATATTTTTAAATGTTTATACAGTAGTGTACTGTATATTGTAATAAACAGAACAGAGGATATCAGCTCTAATATACATTGTTTAGGTATGCATGCTGGTCAGAGAGCCCGTTGTAAGTCCAAGTCGTCAGTAAACGAATATGACAGTAAGTGAGGAGAGGCTGTATTATATTGCATTTTGAGCTGGTGACTTATTTTATCATGGTCACTCTCTTTACAGTAAATAACTTTATAATGATTGCTCAGGTGTATCATACCGGCCCAGTTTGAGGGACATGCCAGATCTTCCCAGCTGGCTTCACTATACGTATTCTCCTGCTGTGCGTACAGGTTTTGTATATGGAGTTCCACCAGAAGGTATCCAAGATTTTGAGGTATGTATGACATTCTAACTATAGTAGTACTTCATCAAAATAACTTAACAAAATGCACTCCTTTAACACTTTCACTGTTTCGGTCGTATATATACGTCTTACGAGCCACAGTTTGACGTACATATACTCAAAAATTCTAGCAGCTTCAAATCAAGCAGGAGAAAGCTGGTAGGCCCACATGTAAGAGAATGGGTCTGCGTGGTCAGTGTGCACCATATAAAAAGAATCCTGGAGCACGCAGTGCATAATGAGAAAAAAAAAAGTTTTTTTTTTTTGGATTAAAACTCCGACTTTGTGGTGTATTTTTATATAGTATTTATGGTTGTATTCTCGTTTTCTTGGTCTCATTTGATAGAATGGAAGACATATTATAGAAATAGAGGTGATTCTGACTGGTTTTACTATGAAAAGAACCTTGAAATGGAGCTCAAAGTAGAGGAAATGTTTGATTTTTGCCGATGTTTAAAAGTAAACAGATAATGTCATTGTCCAATAAATGTCCAAATAGCCATTCTAATATGCAGTTATGAATGGGTTGACATTATTTATACAATCATTACAATATTGCAGTAGTCTGCATAACAGTAAATCTTCTATTTTTTGTTTGAATAAAAATTCAAAATAGAAAGCAAGAATAATATCAGAGGGGCCTGGAGATGTGACTGATGAACAAAGAAAATGTTATTTTAGAGCCAGGAATGTCTGCATTGTTCATTCTGGACTCTATTGTGAAATTAGCATATTTTTCTTAATTTGTGTGAAATTGGCCAAATTGCAAATTTCTGATCACATTGTTGGGTAGTTGAAATCTGTAAATGGGCAGTTTCTTGTACTCAGTCGATAGAACAAATGGAGTTCTAAAGAAGTAGCTATGAGTTTGGTCAACTGGAACAATAGAATTAGCCGAAAATAGGCTCAAAGTGGGCAAAATCGCTGATTCGTCAATAACGCCCAGGTCGCTAAATTTGCGAGAGCGTATTTCCGTAAGTTTTCCATCAAATTTCATTCTTTTGGTGTCATTACCATCAGGAAAAGATTCTCTATCACTTCATAAGATTTTTTTTTTTTTTTTTTTTTTTTAATTTCTCGACGCCAGGAGACATCTCAGGATTTGGGGTTTCGACAGTCAAGGGGTTAGAACTGATGCTGCAGTGCTCATCATTAAAGTACGCTGTGTGGAAGGCATCCAACGTAATTAATGTCCTAAGTAATACCCTATCTTGACACATTTGTCAAGGAGACAAAAATCTCATACTGGTCTGGCAACTTGAAGCAAGATGTCTCAGGATTTCCTATGGCTACTGGCTACATCCCAAGTGCCTTCTGGGCCTGTGTGATGGATGGTTTTGTATCACTAGTCTCCCTGCATCCTATAGTCTTGAGAAGACTGAGTTTGTCAGACTTTTTTGGCTATTGATGCATTAACCCTTCGACTGTCGCAACCCCCAATCCTGAGGTGTCTCCTGGTGTCGCAAGATTTAAAAAAAAAAATATTATTTTATGAAATGATAGAGAATCTTTTCCTGATTGTAATGACACCAAAAAACAAAATTTGATGGAAAACTGATGGAATTACGCTCTCGCGAAGTTAGCGACCTCGATGATATTTACAAATCGGCGATTTCGCCCACTTTGAGCCCTATTTTCGGCTAATTCCATTGTTCCAGTCGACCAAACTCATAGCTATTTCTTTAGAACTTCGTTTTTTTCTATCGACTGAGTACAAGAAACTGCCCATTTACCAATTTCAACTACCCAATAACGTGGTCAGAACTTTGCAATTTGGCCAATTTCACGAAAATTAAAAAATATGACAATTTCAAAATAAGGTCCAGAATGAACAATGCAGACATTCCTGGCTCTAAAATAACATTTTCTTTGTTCATCAGTCACGTCTCCAGGCCCCTCTGATATTACTCTTGTTTTCTATTTTGAATTTTTATTCAAACAAAAAATAGAAGATTTACTGTTATGCAGACTACTGCAATACTGTAATAATTGTATAAATAACATCAACCCATTCATGACTGCATATTAGAATGGCTAGTTGGACATTTATTGGACAATGACATCATTTGTTTACTTTTGAACATCAGCAAAAATCAAACATTTCCCCTACTTTGAGCTCCATTTCCAGGTTGTTTTTATAGTAAAATCAATCAAAATCACCTCTATTTCTATAATATGTTTTCCATTCTATCAAATGAGACCAAGAAAATGAGAATACAACTATAAATACTATACGAAAATACACCACAAAGTTGGCATTTTAATTAAAAAAAACGGTCTTTTTTTTTCTCTCATTATGCACTGTGTGCTCCAGGATTTTTTTTATATGGTGCACACTGACCACACAGACCCATTCTCTCATATGTGGTCCTACCAGCTTTCTCCTGCTTGATTTGAAGCCGCTAGAATTTATGAGTATATATACGTCAAACACGGTACCTCGTAAGACATATATATACGACCGCGACAGTCAAAGGGTTAATATAGGCAAGATTAAGTCACTAACACAAAGGAAAATTACAGAGATTGTTGCATTAAAGGCAGGCCATAAAACGAAGGAAATAATAAAAGCCAGCAAAGTGTGTGCGCGTCTGCTGGGGACCTGGTGGTGTTGGTTTCTTGCGGACAGTGTTCATGACATGCCCACACTAAAAGCATGTCCAGGAAAGCCTAGAAAAACATCACCACTGACATTAATTATAATGTACTGTACCTAGAATTGGTCTGTTATTATATGCCTGAATCATTCACTTAGTGTGGTGCAAGGTTTTTATACAAAAACAGTGCTCTTAGCCAAACCATAAAATCTGTTGTTCAATGGCTTTGTGACTAAGCTGCCCTTATTTGATGATTGGCCTGGAAACTCCCCGGACTTGAACCTCATTGAGAACTGGGCTTAAAGAGAGATTACTATGAGAAGGATATCAACCCACTTCCATGGCTTTAAGATTCCATTCATAAGTCATGGAGAAATTTGCTCCATGAAACCCTGAAGAATGTGTGTTAATCACTTCTTAAATGGTTGTAGTCATGAATTTAGAGGGGGCCCAGTGCACTTTAATGATGAGTTCTGTATATTCTCTAGACACAAGTGTATCTACTGTCTCTCAAAAGACAAATACTGTTAGTTTCCCAAGGAAAAAATCATTTAGGTATCAGTGTCCCTCGTTTTGTGTTCCAGGCTCTTGGTGTCTTTCCCAGGCTCATTCAGGCCATAAATACTTAATTACACATAATAACACTCTTCAGTGTACATTGCAAACCATGCAGATTGCATATGTAGAATTAACAATAGAAATAGGACATCACATAATAACAACATCCACATTTAACAAAACCACACAAAGCGAGGGAGACCTATATTTGTCATTATTGAGAAACTGATGTGTACTGATTTTTTGAGAAACTGGTAGATTTGCTGCTTTTGTGAGAACAAGCATGTTAGTATTTACAATTTATACATAAGAATTAATTTATTTTAAAATTAAAATATTTTTTTTTGTAAAACCTCTTACGTATCACAGCGTCAATAATATATTTAAATGAGGAAGAAGCATAAAAAGTTTTTATAAAGGGAAGAAACATAAAAAGTTTTTATAAAGTAAAATCACATATTATTTGGTGTTGGTGGTACATATTGAGAATATTTGACTTGATGTGTGTACATTATTACCTCATGACCCCATACCTCAAACACTGCCAGTGATATGTAAAGTAAAAGGACACAAGTGCAACTAATGTGACATTTATTGTGGCAACGTTTCGCTCTCCAGGAGCTTTATCAAGCCATTACCTTGGCTTGATAAAGCTCCTGGAGAGCGAAACGTTGCCACAATAAATGTCACATTAGTTGCACTTGTGTCCTTTTACTTTACATGTTGTCGGTAATTCTACCAACTTTATTACTGCCAGTGATGCTGAGTTTTCTCTCTATAACCCCAAGCCCCAAAACAATTACCAGTGATGCTGCATTCTTACTCCTTGAGTACATTCCTCTAATACTTCTAGTAATGCTGAGTTCACATTCCATAGCTCCATGCCCCTAATACATCCTAGTAATGTACTGCACAAAGTATTTACATTATACATTACTTGCAAATGTATAAATTTGACACGTGTGCAACATTTGTAAACTTTTATTAGAATACACTTGGCTCACCAGGAGCTTGTTCATTTGAATACAGTGATGAAAATATAGGTAAATATAACAGAGAATGATGGGTGTAATTTAGGCAGAACATGTGGAATACAATGGTTTTGCTTGACAGCATTGTATTGACTGCCCAGAAACAGTATAGCTATAACTCAGCTATAGTGCCCAAACTGATAATTGTTGCTTCAAGGCAGTGACATTTGTGTAGATTTTTCTTTATAGAGTTGTCTGGCCTCTAGTGCATCAAATGCACTGAAGGCCGGACATAAACTTTGTCAAAACTCCCTCTTTAACCCTTTCAGGGTCCAAGGCCCAAATCTGGAGTCACGCACCAGTGTCCAAGGATTTTCAAAAAAAAAATTTGTTATTTTTTCTTATGAAATCATAGAGAATCTTTTTGTGAAGGTAATAAAACAAAAAGTACGAAATTTGGTGGAAAATTGACGAAATTATGCTCTCGCGAATTTTGATGTGTCAGCGATATTTACGAATCGGCGATTTTGCCGACTTTGACTCCCATATTAGGCCAATTACATTATTCCAATCAACCAATTTCTTAGCTATTTCACTAGTATTACTTCTATTCTATCTATTGAGCACAAGAAATCGCCAAATCAACTGTTTCAAGTACAAAATAAAGTGATCGGAAATTGGTAATTTGGCCAATTTAACACAAAGTTCAAAATATTCCAATTTCAAAATAGGGTTCAGAATAAACAATGTAGGCATTCCTGGCACTAAACTAACATTTCCTCTGTTCATTAGTTATGTTTTGAGGCTTTACAAATAAATTCCATTTTGATTTTTTATTCACATAATGAATTTTTATTCACACCAA